TGAAGCGGCAGCCGTCAAATCGCAGCATGGGGAACTGATTACTTCTGTACCCCGATCGCCATTCGGAGTATTACAACATTGGTATTCATACTTCCTAATGCACTCACTATTGTTCGAGACATCGGAAGTGGGGGACTTCTGTTGGGATATTGATCCAGAGGCCCAATACCCGGTTCAGGAAGGCCCAAGATACCCGGCCCAAGCAACGGGCCCATCACGTTATGATAAGATAATCAAGATAGAATTAATGCCGAACGCGATTCAGCCCAAATAAGGGTTGGCCCAGTAAGAAGACATACCGAACGGAGTTCGGACTATATATTATACTTGGGCCAATTTGACAGCATCTTCAGCATAGCCCAACATCCCGTTCGAGCAACGGCCAACCGGCAAGTGGCCAGGTGCAATTAATGCCAGATTGTGACATCAGCAAGTGGAAACATGGGTGACCAAGTCGGTGGAACAACGGCCAATCAGCATAGGGCAGCCCATGCTCTCCATTAGTATAAATAGAAGGTTTTAAGTCATTGTAAGGGTTAGCATTTCAATACTCAGGCTCTAGAATAACATCATTGCTCTTATTTCTTGTATTAAAGCATTGTTTCCGACCTACCGATCGGGAAATTCCTTGTAATCAGACTGGTTAGTTAATATAAGTGAGCTTTCGAGTATTAGTGAGTTCATATTTTATATTTTGTTTATACACTTCGATTCTGTGCCATTCCTGATATATCCAAAGTTCGTGTTGGACTTTCGGATCTACGGGATTTACACTCAACAACAGTATATGTTGAAAGATTGAAGGATGTAATCTTATGTCATTCTTCCTGCCTATGTAGATAAGGTATGTCATTTGAATTATGTATCTTTTTTAATGCCAATTATTATTATTTTCGTTTTAAATAATTAAAATTGTTAGTGAGGTTGTTAATTAATTAACAATATATTTAACTTCATATGTTAGTGATGTTATAATTTATTGTGCATATATTTGAAATTCGTTTGAAAATGTATATTTATTTTTCAATTATTGGTAATACCGTTAATTTAGGATTTGAATTGGTAATATTAGTTAAATTTAAATATCAGTTAATTCAAATGGGTTTATAAAAATATTAGGTTTGTTTATGCCTTTTAGTCAAAAACCTTTTAGAGTTTTAAGTAATAATATTAGTAATCCAATTAAAACGCCTTTCACATTTTTAGTTAATTAAAATGTTTATTTGAAATTCGTTTAGAAATATATACTAAGTTTTAGCAAATATTGTTAATGCCTTTAATTTAGGATTTGTGATAATTTAAGTTGGGACTCAAACATTACTTTAGTGTGAAATTCTTAGGTGGTCAATGAATTATTATTGTGAATTATTTGAATTTCATTTAATTTAAATGTTAGTTAATTTATCGAGTATTATTAGATTTTCAAAATCTTAGTATTGTGAATTAATGTCATTAACGTAATGATTTAGTGTATTTAGTGTTAAAAATCTTAGTATCGTGTTTTTAGGATTTGAATTGATAATATTAGTTAAATTTAAATATTAGTTAATTCAAATGGGTTTATAAAAATGTTAGGTTTGTTTATGCTTTTAGTCAAAAAACTTTTAGAGTTTTAAGTAACAATTTTAGTAATCCAATTAAAATGCATTTTACATTTTTATTTATTAGAATGTTTATTTGAAATTTGTTTAGAAATATATACTAAGTTTTAGCAAATATTTTTAATGCCTTTAATTTAGGAATTATGATGATTTAAGTTAGGATTTAAACATTACTTTAGTGTGAATTTTTAGGTGGTCAATGAATTATTATCGTGAATTATTTGAATTTAATTTAATTTAAATGTTAGTTAATTTATTGTGTATTATTATATCTTCAAAATTTTAGTATTGTGAATTAATGTCATTAACGTAATGATTTAGTGTATTTAGTGTTAAATACGACAGAAGCATTTATGTGTGCACATAGTTGGTTATGGAACAATCTTAAGGGTGATTTTGTTACATTAAATATACTAGTTACTTTACCCGTGCGTTGAACGGGAATGAAATACTTACATAATAGTTTAGATGCAATCATATGAAAAGTAAAAATCTTAACAGTGTTTCGATTATTTGAAAACATTAAAAAATTAAAATTAAATGTCATTGTAATAACAAATTGAGAAATAAATAGCAGGAATTAATTGTAGAACACCGCATGATGATCAATAAAGATGTACATCCATGTGTATGAAATTGTTATTAACTTCTCTATAGGCAATATTTACGGAGTAATTCAAACAGATTTGTTGCGCTCGAGATCGTCAGATACAATTGTCAATACATAAAAATGGACATCAGAGAAAAATGCTAACCTTTTTCAAAATTGATCTTAACTCTTATTAATAGTCACTATATAATTACCATTATGAAATTAATATGTACAGAATAATCAATAATAGATGTTTATAGTTCATTTTAAGTATGTTAATGGCAATGTATGTCAATAGCTTATTTTTTCCATGAAATACAGAACATATGGATGTGAGAGTTGCTTCCAAAGATAAGATGTAACTTATCTTTCATGTCGCCCTCACACTGTCTTCATTTCATGTCTTCTTTGCAACAGGAATTCCAAATCAATGTCTCCTCTTGTCCGACGAATCCGATGAGCAACAAGGGTTGGCGTGCTCCTGGAACGACTCAAACCTCCAGCTCGACAATGAGTAACAGGGCGGGTTTAGTGACGTCAAGAGGCGACGAATTCCAGATTTGTGACGTCACCCAATCACATGCCTGCGACGAGCTCCTAACTAGGTGGGTTCTCTGAGAGCGTTGTTGGTTCAACGGCTCGGTCAATTTTTGATTGTCTTCCCCCTGCTTGGACAACAACACCTCGCGCGAGACAACTCCCCAGGCAAAGTGAGTCAAGCGAAAAACTAGGGAGATATGAAGAAAGTGACAAACCAGGAATAGAAAAAAAGAAAAAGGAAAAAAGAAAGGAAAGGGGAAAAGAAAAAGAATAAATTTACACTCGTGTCTCCCCGTATCACCACGTGTAAAAATTTACCTAGTGACCATTTAGTTACCTGATAAAAAGCTAATTTGATTTTTTTCATAGTTCGAGTGTTTAATTGGACGTTTTTTGAGTTCGGAGACTTAATTGACATTTTCAATAAAGTGTGAAAACTTATTTGACACTTTTCCCTATTATTTTGATGAAGTAGATGAAACAAGTATTTATTGACACCTACTCACAGTGAGAATAGGTATTTTTATTGTTAATTACTTACACTGAGAAATATTGCTAGTTATCCAGAGTGAGAATGAGTATTGTTATGGTTAGTTGCTCATATTGACAAACTAACAACATGTATTTATTTTATTTACTCACACCGGATGAAGCCGATGACAATATTTATCATTAGTTGTTTTATTTTTAAATGATATCTCCTTCTTAACTGAATTGAGTGTGAAAATATATTTGTTTCATGCGTTTTTAGACATGAAGAATGACTTTTAATAACAAAATGAAGAAATTCTTCTCCCATTAGAATTTGTACACTTGCTGCCGTTTCCCCAAATTCCATTTAATAATTATAGGATTTAACAAGTTCATTTTAGTTGCCAGCCCATCGACAATGGCTACGACACGAATGAAAGGATGATCATCAAAGATAAGGAAATTTGAGATGATTAACAAGTGTTTTTTAAATTCTAGGTGTTGAAGTGTTGAACTCTAATTTGATGGTGTAATGAATTTGAGTCTAAATGTTTTCTTTTTTGCGATGAAACAAATTGATACTACTTTATTGTTACGTTACAGAGATATTGGGTGCTTGAGTATTTAATTACGTTTGTATGTTTTATGATGTTTTGAATATCCTACATACTTCATCTGTCCTTAAATAAAAGAATATGTTTCTTTTTTGGGCCGTCCCTAAATAAAAGTTCCCTTTTCTTTTTTGGCAAACAAAACAGTGCAAAACCGTGCCAAACAGTGCTGAAGAGTGTCCAAACAGTGCCAAACAGTACCAATCAATCCCACTTTCTTAAAATGTGTGGAAAACGAATGTATACTTTTATATAGGGACGGAGGGAGTATGATTTACTGTGAAGGATGTATACCGATCAACACACAAGATTAAAAAATGGTCATTTGATATTATCTGGACAAATAGTTACTCGTTGATAAACTGATTTTCCGTTGGGGTGAGTACAATTCAGATAAAAATTATCCAAATGTGTAATGGGGCAGTTTTAGGGCAAACATTTTATCCGCGGGACGGTTTCGGTTATATGTGTACCTTTTCCTAATCCACCCCGCACCCATCCATATTTGAATTAGGTGTATGTTTCGTAGACATGAATCTCTACGTTCTTCTAACCTCTGTACTCCCTCCGTCCCGGTCATTTCTTCCAATTTTTCTTTTTGGATCGTCCCAATTAATTCTTCCAACTTTCACTTTTGGAAAAAATATGTGGTTCACATTCATTCACCTTTTTCTTACACAACTACAACAATACATTTTCACTTTATTCCCACTACCTAAATTTGCGATACGGGTCAAAATTGGAAGAAATGACCGGACGGAGGAAGTATTATTTAAAAAGTTTTCAAAGACTCACGATTGTGTGTTTTGGCATGCCGATTTTTAAAAGCTATTTCAAAAATTAAGATTTTGTTGAGATGCTACACTAAGTAGCATATCAGAAGAGTCTGTAGATTTTAGTATTAATTAGTGCTACAACTTGTATATCTAACAAAATTAGATCAAATCGTCAATTTTTTATCGAACAACTACCATCTTTTCTGTTTAAGACTTGATTAAAAACTAACCGTTAATAAAAAGTTTATAAAAGTATTTTTTAGCTAATTATGTGAAAGTATCAAACATACTGTTTGTGTATCGGGAGATTCCAAAAATTTAAATATTTTTTGATTACGAATATTACGCTAACTTTTATAATTCGAACCAAATTCTCCATAATGCTGTGATTAAGGATTTAAATAGGCCCTAATTTTTAAAGGCACAATTAACCAAAGCCGATCAGCCGCTCTTGATCTTTACAGGAAGAGTTCTGTTTCTTCTGGCTTCTGTTTCTCTTCTACGTACTTCTGTACAAACTCGGCCGCACCCTTCACAGAATGGCGGCCACCTCTCTCAGCACACCAAAGCTCAGTTTCAAGCTTTCTTCTCCGACTCTTTTTGCCATCTGTAACCACCTTCCCGGATTCTCACCCCGCTCCTTACGCAGTAACTTTGGGAACTTTCCTTCTGTCCGTTTCCGCCGCCAGTCCCTTTCACAAAACCGCCGATTCTCCACTACTCGTGCCGAGTCCTCAAATTCTGCGTCCACTGAGCCACCGAGGCACTATGATTTCGACCTCTTCACTATTGGCGCCGGAAGTGGTGGGGTTAGGGCTTCTCGCTTTGCCGCCAATTTTGGTGCTTCTGTTGCTATTTGTGAGCTTCCTTTTAGCACCATTTCGTCTGATTCCACCGGCGGTGTTGGTGGCACGTGAGTTTTCAACTTGAACATTTACTGACCAGTTTTATATTTTGATAATCATTGCCCATCACTGTTGGACTGTAAAAGATAACGGCATGAAAGCTTAAAAACAGCGCCTTTCGAACTCTAAATTCGGAGAACTGATACCCACTGCATATGATAGTCCACTGGAATAAAGATTTAGCTACTTAGATTAAATAAAGTTGGGGTGATACATCAAGCGCTTCTAAAGTGCTATTCAAGAATTAACTGAAAGCCTGATGCTTTTGAGTGATTGTTAATTTGTTATGCTCTTTATTGAAGAGTACGTTTAAAATTAGTCTGTTAATGTTTTCCCTCATCTAATAACAAGAAAGTAAAATATATAGAACCTATTTGGTATGGCCGTATGGGTTATTCGGTTGAAAAGATTGTATACGCTGAGTCTGAAAAAACATTTTGTAACAGGCGCTTCAGCCAAGTAAGCCAAAAGCTACATAGTTTGCTGATTCTTCTCCTGATGTTGCTAATAATAAGGATATGTTAATAAGTCAGCTTTAGAGTCCAAACAGAGCCTTAGTAAAAAAGGAGAGTTATGGGATGCACTGTTTTATAATGCACTGGATAAGGTTGTGATATTATTCTGTGTTGTTTTTGAAATCTTTTACTAAAGGTGTGTGCTTCGCGGCTGTGTACCCAAGAAGCTACTTGTTTTTGCATCAAAATATTCTCATGAATTTGAGGAGAGCCGTGGGTTTGGATGGAATTATGACACAGAACCAAAGCATGACTGGAGCACCCTTGTTGCAAATAAAAATGCTGAGCTGCAGCGTCTCACTAGTATCTACAAAAACATTCTAAATAATGCCGGTGTTGCTCTTATTGAAGGACGTGGAAAGGTGTGATAAGTTGATCTTTATCATTTACATAGGGTTCAATTATGTAGATTCATGCATTAAATTGTTTTCGGTTCAATTTAATATATCGCCATACATTTTTTTTAGATCACATCTTTCATTGATGAACTTTAGTGATTTTTTTATATTAATAAACATAAAATCTTCTTTCATTCTTTGAGCCAAAAAAAGTTCTTAAAACATGAAGATGTTATGTAAATGTCTGTTATACTGAGCATAGCCTTTTGTTTCTTCTACAGGTTGTTGATCCACACACAGTGGATGTGAATGGGAAACAATACGCGGCTAGAAATATACTAATTTCAGTGGGAGGGCGCCCATTTATTCCAGACATTCCTGGAAGTGAATACGCTATAGATTCTGATGCAGCGCTGGATTTACCTACAAAGCCAAAGAAGATTGCAATTGTAGGTGGTGGATACATCGCACTTGAGTTTGCTGGGATCTTCAATGGGTTGAATAGTGACGTCCATGTGTTTATACGACAGAAAAAGGTTCTAAGAGGCTTTGATGAAGAGGTGAGTGAAGTACTTTTCATTTTCAGACTGGCTCAAAAAGTTCTTTACTCTTATTAAAGGGACATAATCATTGTATTCTGCAGATAAGGGATTTTGTTGGGGAGCAAATGGTACTTGGAGGAATTGAGTTCCACACAGAGGAATCACCGCAAGCTATTGTCAAGTCATCAGATGGCTCGCTTTCTTTGAAAACTAATAAAGGAACTTTTGATGGGTTTTCTCATGTCATGTTTGCAACAGGGCGTAGACCAAATACAATGGTATGAATGTATGATGGTCATCATTTACTTCTGTTTATTAAAGGAAACCACTTATGCAATTCCTTACATATATTCTCTCTTGTCCCCAAATTATTTGATGTTTTAGAAAAGTTCACATATTGTCACTATCAAAAAACCATGCAAATTGCTATATGATTCTTTCTAGCCTTATTTAAGTTCAGCAATAAATGCATTATATTTCTTTTTTATCCATTCACCTTTCAATAAATGCATTATATTTCTTTTTTGAGCCATTCACCGTTGGAAGAATAGTTAAGAATATGCATGAATTCCTAAAACAGTAAATAGTTAGTGACAACATTTTTGGACTATAACAACAATTAATCTGGGAAAAGGGAGCAGGTAAAAAGTAGTAATGGACTAATGGTTGGTATAATGGTATTAGTGCATATTTTCCCTCGTTGTTTGCTTACATAGACTAGCTGGTTGGTGACTTGGTGGGATGCTTCCTTGTGAAATTCAGATAGATTGCTGATTTTTAGTGAATTTACGTTTTGACTTCATTTGCAGAATTTAGGATTGGAGACTTTGGGAGTGAAGATGACAAAGAGTGGAGCCATAGAGGTTACTTACCTAATGAAATTTTTTCTTCTCTTTGGATCCACACATGACACTTTTTCTTCTGAGCTACTTGCTTCTATCTACATGATCAGAGTTGTAAATTGTTTCAATAGGTGGATGAATATTCACGTACATCAATCCCATCAATTTGGGCAGTTGGAGATGCTACTGATAGAGTGAATTTAACTCCGGTTGCTTTGATGGAAGGGGGAGCATTGGCAAAGACACTTTTTGCTAATGAGCCTACTAAACCAGACTACAGGTGCTTTTCTTTACCCTGTTTTTATGCCATAAAAGATGTGATAAACCTTGACATTTTCTTATGGGCGTTCCATGTATGCAGTACATATATAACCCTATGAGTATAAAAAGGCATCATCTAAATAATTATGCGTGTTACATGATGAATCGTGTAACTATATGATGATGGATTTGTTTCCCCCCTTCTAGAATAAAAGATCTCGGGTAGATTCTTAAGAAGATGATTCATGAACCTCTTGATGGGTTGGGGGACATGGGAGGGGAGGGGCGGCATCTGTTGAATTAATGTTACCCCTACATTAGCTTCATATAATGGTTGGAAGGGAAGTGGAGTCGAGAAATCATTGAGGGATACTCTATCTGCTCAACATAAAAGTATGTTTCAAGCACTTCTGTTTTTGGTTAATTATTCAAAGAAGTATGGTTTGATCAAAGGAAGCTTTTCTTTCAAGTACTTTTCCAAAAAAAGAGAAATAGGCAAGTGAAATTTGATAAATTTAGTTAAACCAACAAAAATAAAATAAAAACGTCACTAAGATCGATTCTCTTTATACTAGTTGAGCGGTTGAGCCTTAACAAAACTAAATAGTTGTCTTAGAAAAATAAAAAAAAGTTTTACCTTGACAAACATGGATCTTTTTTATGGGACTGACTACTGAGGTAAAAAATTATGCCTCCACCTGATCTGTATTCTTTTTGGGACAAACCAACAAAAGTAGTAGTTTTCTTCTGATGAAGTAGCACAAATAAACAGATACAATAATATAAAGAATATCAATCTCCCCCTACAGGTCACTATTTAATTCCCCATTCAAACAAGATCTGAGTTGTCTGGTGAAGTTTGATGTTCTTCTCTTGTACAGGGCTATACCATCTGCAGTATTTTCACAACCACCTATAGGGCAAGTTGGGCTGACTGAAGAACAGGTGAACTGATATGACGACAGAAAGTTCTACAATTTATCTTGAAACTTATATCTAATATATTCTTTTTGCAGGCCATCCAAGCGTATGGTGACGTAGACATTTTCACATCAAACTTTAGGCCCTTAAAGGCCACACTTTCTGGCCTCACGGACAGAGTGTTCATGAAACTTATTGTCTGCGCAAAGACAAATAAAATTGTGGGTGTGCACATGTGTGGAGATGATGCACCAGAAATAATTCAGGTACTCAAAATCCTTCATTATTCTTCAATGTTCATTTTGAATTTGTCTAATTGCAGAATTTGAATGTTTTGAGTATTTGATCACATGTCTTGTATATCCAGGGGTTCTCAGTTGCTGTTAAGGCTGGTTTAACAAAAGCAGATTTTGATGCCACAATTGGTGTCCACCCAACATCAGCAGAGGAGTTCGTCACCATGCGGACACCTACAAGAAAGGTTCGAAGCAGTGCATCTAAGGTTTGTCCCCGGTTTAAAACCTCTTCCAGAATAGATTAATTGCTGTTTTATGATGGTCGCATGATTCATCTTGTCATCCCAAGTTTTCATGAAGGCAGACGGGATTTGAAATGATATTTTTGGTAGTATTAATTAAATATTTATTTTTAAACTGGCTTTAATAAGAAAAGGAAAGATATTTGTCTCATGGAGATGTAAGAGGTTTTTTTGTGCTTCGAAGTTGTGTATTTGATGCTCTATTAATATATGTAACGCGGACAATATTTCATCAAATTATCCATCAGCAGTTCATTAGATTCCATTTCCATCTCTGCTGAAATTGCTGTTTCAATGTTTGTAATTATAAATCTAAATTCAAACAGAAAAAGTAATGAGCATAATTACTAAACCATGTTTTTTTTGTTTTGTCACTTGTTCTGTTGCAACATAAACTTGATATTAAAAATGCAAAGTTGAGAACGCATTAAAATATGAATTGTAAGTTTATTATCACTTGTCAAAAGATCCAATTGTAAAAATTTAGAAGGATAAAATAGTCTCATGTTATTGAATGAAGTGGCTTCTTTTTTTAAATTTTCAAAAAGCAGAAACATCCCATATAAAGCAATTAAAAGAATACCATACAACAACAACAACCAAGCCTTAATCCCAAAAGATTTTGGGGTCGGCTAACATGAATAGATCCATGATATCGATGCCAAAAAGAGAAGACAGACAAGAAGAAAAAAACGAGTACGATTAAGATAAATAAATACTACCTCCGTCCCGTTGGAAGGTTCCCATAGCAAAACGGCACGGTTATTTAGGCAATAATTAAACAAAGTACTTCGAGTACATTTTGAGAAATAATTTTAATAGATATATATTATAAAGTAGTTAGTATTGATAAATGTGATGTTATAAATGTATTGTTTTTAATATTTAATGATTAATTTGTCAATTAAGATTGTTAATTGTTTCCAAAAATGGAAATGAGAATCTTCTAACGGGACATCCAAAAAAGGAAAGTGGGAACCTTCTAATGGGACGGAGGGAGTATAAGATAACAATAACATAAGAATATAAGAAAGATAAAAGAGCATGAAAAACTAGAAGATAAAAATAACATAAGAACATAAACAGATAAAGAAGATCATCATCATCATTACCCCAGTGCCGCAAAGGCTCCCACCTACGACAGGGTAAGGGGGGGTCGGATGTACGCAGTCTTACCCCTGTACTAAAGCACAGAAATTGAGTGGTTTCAAATTGTCAATTAATACAACTCAATATAAAGCCCTCCACGCGGGAAGGCCATGAATATACAGTAATGTATTATAAATAGCATGTTTGATAGTCTTGCTAGAACACTTAAGTTGATGAATTGAGGTAGTCAGCTCATTTAGTTGTTAGTCTTTTGCTTGATGTGAACGTTGATTTGCTCCACTTTACCTATATCAGTGGCAACTTATTAATTAAAAAACCATTGGTATTAAAATTTCATTTGGAAATGAATAATGATGTGAAACATTGATTTAATCGTATATCTCAAGGTTAAATGGTCAATTTGTCCGTTCATTTTTTATCATTTGACCTTCTTAGTGTAGAGAGGAGTATGAATCCAAGTGAACCTACTATGTGCCTCTGTGGTCATCTTCACTGTTGAACCTACTATCGGGCACATCAACTGTGTTTTACTCTTATGTGGACTAATTTCTTTATTATAAACCTACTTTTTATTTATAGACATGTAAACCTAGAATTTACTTTGTAGTTTGTACGCACACCTGCACTGAAGCAGTTAAAGTTTTAATTTGGAAGTTGTAGAATTGCACTTTCTAGGATGTTCATGGCTATGTTTTAGTTCACTGAAAATTCTAGAGAAAAAATGCCAAGGAAAGTTGGTTTCTAATGTTGGCTTCGCTTTGGAGAATGTTAAGCAACACAAAATATGAATATGTTTTTTCTACAAATATTTTAATATAAAGTCATCATGTAATACTATATTAGTCATAAATAAATAATAAATAAATAAAATGTGTATCGACAAATATCTAAATGTGCAAACATGACTAAGTGTGTTTTGTTTCCAAAATAGTTGTTACTCAATATTTAAAAGTTTTTATTCTTTTACTAACTACTACATATTTTTTGTTCCTAAAATATGACTTAATTAGTTTTAGTAAAAGAACTATTTTTTTTTGTTAAAGTTCGTATTTCTTAATAGATTTATTTTCACCACATTTACTTCCTTCTAAGTTCCCTCTATGTTTCCATCATACTCATTTCTCCAAGTATGTTCCACTAGGAAGAGGAAATTAGGAAAACATACCTCCCAAAATGTTAGGGAAATGAAATATAGTATGATTAATGTTTTTAATGTTATTTCATATGTTTATATTTCTTATTGTTTACATCTTGGGAATAAGTGAACTCAATTCATTGAGTTTAAATCCGTCCTTACCCCCCACCACATTTTCCTTCCTTCTGACTTCCAAGTTTCTGACTTCCAAGTTTCCTCCATCCCTTCACTCCATCCCTTTTCCCAAGTATTTTACAGTGTCCAAACAAACCCTTTGTTTTGTAAGCTTTCTGATTTGATTAATTCTTTTTCAACCATACTTTTACTCCAGGGAGTTTGACCATGGATGAATAAGATGGATAAGCATCACACACATGAATTGGGTGAGAACTGTCAGTCTCCTTTGAATGTGCTTTATAATGCAAAGAAGGGAAAATGCTCTTTTCCTTCTCCTTCTCCTTCTCCTTATTCCTCCTCTTCCTTGGTATTTTACAGGGGTGTGCATGATTTGATGATTTTAGCTGGTGCAAATCAGGACTGATGCCTGCATTAAAAGTTTTAACCAAAGGGAAGGATGTCAGAAAATCACACTTTGGGCTACTCTTTGCTGGCATTCTGGCAGGAATGTAACCCCCCCTCTTTGGATGTTGACGTGCATAGGCCTTTTTTGACGTATTTAATTCAAATTTTGTGTTCATTGAGACATTAATGGCAATTTTTATTTGAATAATTAACTTATAATTAGGTTTTATAAGGTGTAATGTTTTATTACCCGTCTGATTCTTCCGTTCCATTTTTTTATTGGTCTCACTTTCTCGGTGAGGATCCCAAATAATAAATAGCATTAAGATATGCTATGGTCATATGCCAATAGGATATACCTTTTTTATTGTTATTTTGATAAGATGTTTTGTTATAATTACGTAGTATTTGTTTATTGAGTAAACGTAACATGCGGAGATGCAGAATCTGCTTGCGATAATTATTCAAGTTAGCATCTTTAGTTCAAAAGGAGGTACATTTTCTTGATGAATACATGTCCTTTAAATTCCAATACTCCATATAAACTTTTTTTTTATCGACATCCGGGGTATCCTTTGTTACACGAGACTAATCCGGAGCCTCGGCAAAGAACCACAAGGAGGTAAACCAGTCTAGGTTGCCCATAGCTGACCGGCTCACAGCTTAGGGAGGTTACAATAATCACTCCCATTGCAGGATTCGAACTTAAGACTTTAGGATTGTCCCAAGACGTCCTATGAAATGATTAAGTTGTCCATATAAACTTCTAAGATTTGATTAAGTTGTCCATTTTTTTTACCCCACCCCTTTTGTATCACATGTGGTTTATTATTTATAAGGCAATCACTCAATCATTCTACATAGGATCGTTCTATTCACAATCACAATTTTGCTATTTACAGCCATCACAAATTTTTATAGATACGATACATTTGAAATATCTATCCTACCCTTGTGTTAAAGATATACGGAGTAACCTTCAATTAAGTCTTCCTTTCGAGAAACTTCATATCACGAATCCAATCAATCCACCATGAGAACACCGATTTTTTCTACTTCCCGTTCTTGGAAATATAGTTGCAGGCTATCTTTCATAATCATTCCAATTGCAAAGATTTCCACCCTGTTATATTCTAGAATAAAATCTCATGTTGAATAGATGTAGGTCATGTAGCAAGGATAACGTGAATCGATTGGAAAAAACCATGGTGGAAAAACAAACGAGCCAGCGTAATGTTTCTTCCTTCCGATAAAGCGTTGTTTATGTATATCATTTCTTGCCATTCTTGGAGGTTTTTTTTAGAAGAATTAGCAGTAACCGTAGTTTGACTTTCAGTTTCAATCGGATCTGGCCACTTGAGATGGTGATAGCTTATAGTAGAGCTTTCAAAGACGTCAACAAGGCTGATGTTAGGACAACGGGGATATAATGGGCATTTTAGTTATATTTAATTACTTGATTTTAATTAGGGGCTGTGTTTAGTAAAATTGTGGCTGCATTTAAAATTACCCTTCTACATATTTAACATTGGTTTTTGTGATTTAGTAAAATAAGAAGGCTTAGGGACGGAGAATTAAAGTGGGCCTAATTTTAAAAAAATGTAGAACTCCTTTCTGTCTAAATTAACATTCATAACAATAAGGGGAAACTAATTTAAAAACCTCAAACTTTGAAGTAGGTATGGACTCGGGCCGGGTGGCCCGACCCGGAACCGGCCCGGGACCGGTACTGTTCCGGCCCGGCCCGACCCGGTGGCCCGGTCAGTGACCGGTCCGGGTAGGCCCGGCTCGTGGGTTTTCCGGTCCGGGCTCGGGTCACCCAAAACAAGGCCCGACCCGGCCGGGCCCGGTTCGGGCCAAAAACAATTTTTTTTTTTCAATTTTTTTTAAATTTTTGGGTTGGGCTGGGTATTTTGGGCCATTTGGGGTGGTTTGGGGGTTGGGGGTGGGAGGGGGGTTAATTAGGAAGAGGAAAACAAAAACAAATTATAATGGGCCCGGCCCGGACCGGACCGGACCCGGTGGTTACCCGGGCTGGTCCCGGGTCCACCATTTCTGACCCGCCAGCCCGCCCGGGCCTAGGCCCGACCCGGACCCGAGTCCATACCTACTTTGAAGAGGTATCATGTAAGCATTTCAAACTTTCATATGTAATATTTATACCCAGAATTTTATATAAAAGTAATATTAGTATCATGACATATGTTTTTTTCTTTCATAATGTAAATTTATGATGCTTGAACTTGGGATGGACCCGGACCGGTCCGGTTCCGGTTTCGGGCCGGGCCAAGGCGGGCTTTTTTCCAGAAACTTGGGTCCGGAACCGGCCCGGGCCGGTTCAATGTATAATTTTTTTTTGGCTTTCTTGTTATCCCCCAACCCCCCCCCCCCCCCCCCCCCTAACCCCTCCAAACACCTAGTCCTACCCAAGGAAAAGAAAAAAAAATTGAAAAACAACAAAAATTGAACCGGGCCCGGGCGAACTGCTTAATGGGAACAAAAAAAAAATCCATTGAATCTATTTTTTTTTTAATTAGAACCACTTTCTCTATTTTTCTCTTCTTTTTTATCCTATCCAGATTTAATCGTTTTTATTACACCTTGAGATTAATTAAATTTATAGAGTTAAATATAATTGAAAAAAATTGTCTAAAAAAATCAACAAATTATAACACCGATACTCAATAGAAACAATCAACAATTATGAATGCATTCAATTAATAAACTAATCAAATAATCATATCCGACAGATCTGCTCTCAAGTGGAATTATTTTATTATATCCTTTTAGCTTGTTTTTAATTAAGTTTAAATTACGTCTACAAAATTTCAGCTTAAATCTCAACCGGAAAGTTTGTTAAATAAATTATTGAAAAACATTGCGCCAAAATATACATAAAAAACGCCGTCTTTTTCAATAATTTATTTAACCAACTTCTAGATTGAACATTAAACTGAACTTTTTTCAGACATAATCTAAACTTGATAGAGAACATGCTCATAAATTTTCATCAAATGAATCCATTCAAAAGCACCTCAAAAATTTATTACTTAAGTACTGAAAATCAACCTACTCACACAAGTTATAAAGAACTAAACCTAGACCTAACTTTTTTCCATTTTTCTTGGGCCTAGGGCCCCCGCCCCTGCCCCCAGGACCGCCCCTGCTACAAACAATAATTTAATTGTAAATAAGAAAGAAATATCTTTATTCTCATCATAAATCTTAGAGCTGAGAAAAAATCGTTTGATTTCATAGAATCGAACCAAACCGAAAAATTGATAGTTTGTTTTGATTTTGGTTTACTTAAGTAATCTATTTGGTAACAATTTGGTCAAATCGAATAATTTGGTTTAATTTGATTTAAAACCGAAAAACCACAAACCAAATTAAACACCCAACAACTTGTAATATGTATAAAAATACTCTGTATTTATCTTTACTCTTCACCTTTAGGATGTAAATAAATAATTTAAATATGAAAAGTACATGTTTAGCGTATATCAGTTTAGCTACTACATATTTCATAACTTCATTATGACAAAGTTAGCTAATACAACATATTTGTATTCGTTATATTTGTTATATTTTGTACTCTACATGTATGAAAAGATGTATGACGGTAACAATAGTAAATGACATTTATATTCTTTTACATGATTCATTTGAATAAAATAGTACTCCCACCGGTCCTAAATAAAGTTCACACTTTCCTTTTTGGATCGGTCCAAAATAAAGTTCACACTTCTTCTCCCTTCCTTATTTGGCAAATTATCTACATCAAAACAATGCAAAACAGTGCCAAACAGTGTACTCTACAGTAAAGTCAAATTTATTTTCTTAATTTGTGTGAAGTAAAACATGAATCTTTATTTATGACCGGAGGAAGTATAATTTTAGTAGTTTATGTGACCCTGATGTGCCACCAGCGTTTTGATATGATCCGAAGGGAGTATAATATGACCCTGATGTGCCACCAGCGTTTTGAATATATCTTTCAATATTTTATGTGATATTATAAATGTTCTCATTAATCAAACATCACTAATAGCTAATTAATATGATCCGAACATCAGGGTTGCGTGATTCGACATCCGATGGTTTTTTCCTTCTTGGGCTTTTAATCTCCTGTATTTCGTTTATTTTTAATTGGGTCAGGCCCAGCCCCCCCCAATGTGTTTTTCTTCTTCGTTTCTTTGTGTTTGGAAAAAATATGTCTTTTCTGGAGAGGTCTTGACTTGGTTCCACTCTCTTTTTGTAATCGTTTCTTTTTAATAAACTAAGTCATATGACATTCGGCATGTATCCCACTGATTTTGATGATTTGCTTTTGGGGTTAAAAAAACAGTCAAATCCACCAAATAATGGTTGATAATCCAAACGTTAATATTTAGCAAGCATTAAGTCGTCGTGTCGCCATTATTTCGTGTAGTCAACAATTAATTCTTTTGTTGACTTTGAAACATTGAACGAAACGATATTACACCGATTAATTCAAAAATTGAACGAAATCCCGGGAATAAACAAATTACATTGCCCGTTGGTACCCCAAAAGTTTCTAAAAACTTGATGAAGTTTCGGTCATTGTCCCTTAACTTTCATCTTTCCGTCATCGTCGAGTATGGAGAAGTGGAAACCAATCTCTCTAAACAAATTTTGATTCGATTATGATAAAAGAATTGTTCTAAGTAGGGAAAAATGTTTAACCATTTCAAAAAATAGAGGTGGTGTTACAAATATTAGGGGTGGACATAAAAATCGAACTGAACCGTTACAAGATCCGTAATGGTATCGAACCGATTATCGGGTATTTAAACGGTTTTATATAAATTTATCCCGAATCGAAACCGTACTATTTCAAACGGGTATGAGATCGGTACAAGATTTTGAGAACAAAAAAATATCCGACCAAACTGTTCAAAAATAATGTCTTTGAAATTTTTATATTTTTCTATACCAATAAATATTTTTACAGACCAACAGTTTTATAGCCCCAGTATATATTCATGCATCCCTAAAATAGCTACGTGTGTGTTTTATATAAGTATTGTTACTTTTTTCTTTTAGATAATTTATGTTATATTTGGTATATAATGAAGGAATGCTAAAGTTTTAAAAATCATTAATGACTATTAATTTCTAGTAATGTAGTGTATATGACTTTTTGTTGTATCATATTTCTGTAATTTTACAACTTAATTAATACTACGTATGGTTTAAATCTTAGCACTTGCGGTTCAAATATGAATTAAATTAGAACTATATTCAACTTAGAACAAAGAAGATTTTTAAATTTTTCTATTATATTCAACATTTTAATGATATTCTTTTTATATTTTCACATGAATTTAACAAAGATGGTATTGTACTAGTGTATCATTATTTTGCTATATTTTTACTTAATTCTGTTGCACTGTTTGAGTATTTTTTAATTTAAATACAAATATGTTAACCTCTTGAATTTTTTTTCTAGTATTTAGTATGCACTTTCTTATATTTTTATCAACATTTCGTGTGAAATGGACGGTGTGATGATATATACTAATTGCAAGATTTGTCTAAATATTTCGACACATGTTTGGTATTGTACCGAACCGTTTCGTACCGTTCTGAAACGACATGGTATCGAATGGTTCCATCCTTAGAACCAGACCGTACCGAACCAATTGAAACTTCATGGGTACATTACAAAATTTGCTAATTTATCGGACCATTCCGGAAAACGCCTACCCCTGACAAATATGAGCAAATATAGTTAATTTTTTAAAAAATACTGTCATATTCAAAATCTGATAACGTTCGAAACATGATAGTGACTAGTGATTATTTAGGCAATGCAACATTATAATCATATTTTGAAATTCTAAAACTTTGTTACTTCTATTTCAAATTTTTTTCCGCTTCATTTAGGATATCCGCTTCATTAGTTTCTTTGAAGATTATTGGATGATGTGTCAGATTAGAAAGACATTACTTAGTGTGATTATTGAAATGAAAATCTAATATCAACATTCAAATCTGGATGATTTTAGTTTGTATTTAAAATACATTTAGTGTGTGTTTGAAAAATTAATTATTTGAGTACCATTATTCATGAAGAATTTTGAACTTTGAAATTGTATAAAGTTAATTCGTTAGGTGTGATGTGAGAATAATGTCTAAGAAAAAATAATTTATTTAAGGTGTATGAATGGAAACACAATTATAATTGTTTAGATAGAGAAGGCTTTCAAATGATTTTTTGAAGTATTGTGCCAAATTATACATAGAAAAACGCAATTAACTTCAAAAAATCATTTGAAGATCTTCCTGATTGTATTTTGAGCTGAATTTTTTTGTGTAAAAACTAGACTTGACGAAGAACATACCATAAAATTTCATCAAAAAATTCCACTGGCAACCGCCCCGAACGGCGTTGTTCGGACGGGGAATGTTCGGACCTGAACATTTAGAACACAATATTTTGTTCTATACTTATATTGAATTAAAATGAATTATTTCTTGATTCAAACTGATGTAATTAATTTTCATTAAACTGTTTCATTTTTTAAAAATAAATAAATGATCTTAACTTTTGGATTATATTTTTCATGATGACACTAAAACATAAAATATTTTCTGAAATAACAATGCCATTATTTTCTTCTTAAAACAAGATGTATTCATTCGTATTTTTAGAAAGTTTTATTATTTTGTTACTTGAATAAGATCTGTGTAGATGTCATATTATAGGAAGAATTCTGATTCATTTGGTAGTATTTTGCATATATTTTTACTCACCTTTTGAGCAATTTATTACAAAATAAAATGAAATTCATTGTGACATGACAGAAAAAGAAAGAAATTAGCAATAGTTCGTATAAATTTGAATGGGGGCATTAGTTCATACATCAAAAATGTTACCGTTGACGCCAGAAGAATATTCGCAGAGTTGCTGGGGACAGTCCGACGCTATATATATATAAAGCTCTACTAATTTTGCCACTGTATTATTATTGAAATAAAAACGTAGGCGCCAAAAGAACCAAAACTCCCGCCGTTTCTCAATTATTTCCTTGCCGCTTCTGTATTAGGATGGTCTTCGTATGAGAAAGCTGAGCAGAAAGGAGGGAAGATGCCAGGCCGCCAGCCTCACCCAGCCACCCCCGTCTCCGCCGTCTTCGTCGCCCCCAAGCGCGGCAAGAAGCGAGGGAGCTATAACTGCGGCCGATGCGGTGCTCCCAAGAAAGGACACGTTTGTCATTTCACCTCTGCCCCCACCTTGAACACCAGCACTCCAGCTATCAGCGACTGCACCTCATCGGATTCGCATTCGCCTCTCGCCGCCGGCCACCCTCTCCCTTGCCAGCCTCCCTCCCGCCTCCCTCGAGCTCTCTCGTTCGACGAATTTGACCTGGGAGACTTCCCTGGACCCGAAGACGAAGATGTCCCGGAGTATCCGGATCTGGATGGGTCGGGGAGCTTGCCGTTTGAGTGCCTGTGGGAAGTTCTCAGAAGGCTTCCGCCTCCATCGCTGCTATTGACGGCCAGTGTGTGTAAGGGATGGAGGGATACCGCTAGGCTGCTGTGGAGAGCGGCGGAGGAGCTCAGGCTTCGGGTTCCGGCCAAGGCTGAGGTTGGACACGTCAGGTCGTTGCTGCAGAAGTGTCCGGATCTTGTCAGACTTTCTCTAACAATGCAAAGGTTAGGGGTTTGACTTTTGACTATTGAACGATTTGTCAGATTTTAATAAAAAAATCCAGCCTCGGATTTGTAATGGTGGATTGATCAGGTATATATATGTTTATTGGTGTTTCAGTGATATAGATGCAATGATGTTGGCCTGCATTGCATTTTCATGCCCTAAGCTAGAGTCTTTGGAGATATTTATATCCAAGACCTCAGTAAATAGGATAACCGGGTATGCTTTCTGCATCTATTTTTAATTTCAGTTGATTTGAATATTTGAACTTATGCTGTGGTCTGTGGACATTTGTAACCAATCAATATATCCGAAGGATATGAGGATTTCTTACTTTTTCTTTCTTTAAAGTGTGCATATGATAGTTTTTTGCTAAATGTAATTTTTTGTGCTAGTTCTTTGCTTGATCTATTTGATTTTAAAATCCCACAGTTTTTATTGATGAAGCACACACAGGATATGGGTTATCAGTTTATCACTATTACTGTGTGGTCCCAATCCTCAACCAGAACTGATGGAGATACTGTTAAAACCAGTTATAGGAGAACAAGTCCTGGAACTATTCCACCATTTCACTATGGATGAAACTAAAACAACAGAAATAAAGAAAATAAACTGCAGTATTGTCAAATGGTAGCACCGTGTGTGACAAATTAGTGATAGAAAACTTGTGAAGAATTGCAGGCCATGGCCAGAGTACTGACCATCAATCAATAATGAATTTTATGAGCCAATCAGATACACCATTGTAAACGATACAACTTGAGCTAGATAGTGCTGTACGTGAATAGCTTTTGAAAACATGATGTTGCCCATTTCCCTAAAGAAATTAGTAATGAAGATGAAAGATCCCCTGATTTTTTTTGCTTCCTTTATAGAACACATTTTTTGCTATCTGGCACTAATACTTTTGAGCATAACATTTTTGGTGGATAATATATTGAGCATTTCAAAACTAACCTGTCCAGATCAGTTTAGTAGTTAACTATTATGTTCATTTTCATTTTATGTATTTATTTAAGAATTCATGTAGGGATGAATTGAGCCATTTTCTAAGTGATAGAAAATGTCTTTCTAATCTCAAGATGGAAGGATGCTCCAACCTTGGAGGTTTTGTTCTTTGTTCTAGCAAGCTGTCTTCACTTTGGCTTTCTGAACTTCGCTGTCTCTCTAAGATGGTACATTCTATTTATATTAATGGCAGCTTGTTGTATTGTGAGTTGTGATATGCATCTCAATTCTCAACGTTGATCTCATTTGCGGAATGTACTGTGTTTAAATAGGTATTCAAGTGTCCCAGTTTGAAGGAGATTTCATTGGACTTTTCCAAAGAGAATGACAACACCGATATCACAACCATGGTTGACTGTCTTGGAAGAGGCTGTCCAAGACTGCAAAACATTCATATTTCTTCTGTTCGACTCTCACATTCTTCTGTGCTTGCTTTGGCTGCAGCAAACTTGAGGTTTGAATCTTTTGGTATTTTCTCTGGTTCACAATAAAAGTCATCTGTGGAGGAAAAGTTTACTTTAACAATAAATGTTGTTGCACAAAAAGAAGAAAACATGCAATTACGTTTTTTCTTTTTCTTCTTCTTTATCCATCTCCTTCATGACTCATGAGGGTAAAATTTTCAAAATTTTCTCTATATTATTGTCTCCTTAATCCTTGTCGTTCTAAAATGACACTTATCGTGAACAAGATGAAGTATTTCATTTTCAGAGTATGTGAAGCCTATCGAATGACCCCCAACTAGCAATGAAATGGTTTAATTAACTAAATGTAACTGCTTTGACCTGCAGATCGTTGCGAATGCTCTCCCTTGTACTCGGGTCTGAAATAACTGATGCATCTGTTGCAGCTATTGCTTTTAGCTACCCAAGGCTTGAATTGCTTGATCTGAGTGGGTGGGTTTGCATTCCATAGTCCTAAAAAGTTCATTTTTTATTTCTCTTTCTTAATTTTTGAATGTAACAATGTTCCAATCATGCCTTAATTTGTGAGAGATCTACTAAAACAAAGAAGAAAACTAAACTGAGAAATGCTGCATCCATGTACAATAGTTTTCACATTTAGCTTGCATTTTTTGCTCGCATTATTTAGTTACTTAATAGATTAATGTTTTTGCTTCTATCTACTTTACTTTGTATGTTTTTTGCTTTGAGTGACTCTTTTTGTTTTCATTTCAGGTCTAGTATAACTGATGCTGGCATTGGAATGATATGCAATGTTTTTGCTGAGACATTGTCTAATTTTCTCATTGCCATTTGTCCTAATATCACTTCAAGTAATGACCAAAATGCACCCTCGTTAATCCCGTTCTCATCTGTATTAATTGGTTTGCACAAGAGATGATGATTAAGACCTATGTATTATCTAATCACCGAGTACATGATGAGTTCTTGCTACTATTACATAAACCTTGCTGTCTAGCTTATCTAATCGCTCTGTTCCAAAATTCTGATTTAATCGCCGAGTACTCAATTGTGATTGGTTTTGCATGCTGAGTAGTGGGGTCATACTAGATTGAGACTATTCTTTTTTTTTTCAAAGATTGCAAGTAAAGATCGAGATCTCTAGTTTAATAAAAGGAAAAGAACTTGACATAATACTCGGTATAAGTTTTGGTAGAATTTAAAACAATGGTTTCAGTGTCAGCTTCAGAATATTCGAGGTGAGTGATGGCTCTGTGACTCAGTGAGTTCTTAGTCGTGTTCTTCTTCAGTTTCTTTTCTTCTTCTTAAACTTCTTGCTAGGAACCTGGGTTTTAAATATTATAGAAGTAATTTGCAGTACGAAATTCTTATAGAAATACTTTTTCATTCATTCATCATCATTACCCTAGTGCCGCAAAGGCTCCCATCTATAATGGGTAAGGGGGTCGGATGTACGCATTCTTACCCTTTTACTAAAGCACGTAGAGACCGTTTCCGGATGACCCATAATGAAATTCGCGTCGAAAATTGCATGCACCGACTACTGCTACATAATAAAGAAGCGCAGACAGTTTAGTCAGTCATTTTGCTTTATTCCATCATATTTCCAAGCCAAAAAATAGTGAGTCTTTGGCTCCATTAAAAATGATGGAAATTCTTATAGAAATTCTTACTAGGATTAACTTTGGATATAGGTTTAAAATCTTGGTTAGATGGTGGACCCTTTTTAAAATGTTTATGTAAGCCTTGTTAGAATTTTGTAACATATCCGTCTAGAAGTTCATTAGTACAGCGACCTAGTAGCAGTGTATCACCTTGTACTGATTTAACTAAAGAAAATGACAAGCTTCTTGTTCTTTACTTAGGTGGCATTCAATTTGCTGCTGCTGAATTGCCTCAACTAGAGATCATGGACTGTGGAATGACAATATGTGACCTGAAATTAGATGATGAGGAGAACGGTGGTTATGACATGCAAAAGCTGCCAACCAGTGAACCACACATTGTGTATCAAAAGCTGATTATCAAACACAGCCGGTTGAAGAAATTAAGCTTATGGGGTTGTTCTGCCTTAGATGTGAGCTTTCTTAGTCAACGTAATATCTCAATTGTCAGCTATATTACTGATCTAAAGTTTGTCCATTTTTCTAATCATAAATTCTGCGCAGGCATTATACTTGAACTGCCCAGAACTTGTTGATTTGAACATAAATTGCTGTAGAAATTTGCAACCAGGTAGCCTTATGTTATGAACCTTTGATCTACCTTTTACCTAATGAATGAGCTGTTGAAAAATGAAATATATATTTCCTCTAAACACATAATAATGTGCTTTTGTCACAATACAGAGAGATTGTTACTTCAGTGCCCTAATCTGGGCACTGTTCATGCATCTGGTTGTCAAGGTAGTTTGGTTGAGTGCATTCAGACACAGGTATTCAAATTTTTATATTACAATTTTATGCCAGTCATTATCAAAACAACAATTATATTCTTTCTGCTTTTTTATCCATATCTCTATGTCAGCCAGTAGTAGTGGATGTGTTGCCTAAACAAAAATTATCTTCCCAGCCAGTTTCCCTAGGAATAATCCAGATTAGCTAAAAAACTCCCTAAAGAAGTAGGTCATTTAATATAAGCTAAATAAAGTTGTTGTCTTGTGTTTAGTTTTGCCACTTAAAATCCATAAGAACATGAAATATGGTTTAATTCTTAATTCATTTACTTTTATTTGATTTCTTTGTGTTTTTTTAAAAAATGGATAAATAAAACAAGTTTAGACAAATATTTATGTAAAAATATGCGGGGTGTCAAAAATATTATTAAAAATAAAACTTATTTACTCATATATGACTAATAGTTACTACTCCATCCATCCCAAAATGATAGTCCTGTATTTCCTTTTAGGGATGTCCCAAAATGATGGTCCTGTTTCCTTTTTTGGAAAGAAAGATGTGGTCCATATCATTTCATTTTATTATACTCAAATCTCAACCACAACTTTTACCTTTTCAACCACTTTATTAAAACTTGTGCCCAAAAGAAATGAGACTATCAAATTGGGACGGAAGGAGTATAATGTAGTGTCATGGTAACCTAAATTTAAAAATCTAACACAAGTTACTATGATTCCATTACTACTCTAGTCACTAGTTACATTTTTGTAAACAATCTTTATTTTAGTCATAAATATGTAATTATTTTAAAATTTTATGGAATTTGAACAAATGTCTTTTTACGCATTTATCCTAAAACATATTTTCCTCTACTTTCTTACCCTAACATTTCTTGAGTTTGATTTCTTCGTGTATGGCTTAGAATGTTCACTCAACTGGGAAAAGGCAGGATCACCATGAAAATGCAAACTAATTTTCAAACAAAAAAACAAACCACGTTCCTCAAATTGCCCCTTACCTACTTATTCTCTCGGTGGCAATCTGTGCAGGTACTTAGCAGCAATTTTGCAGATGTAGAAACTCATCAGTTTCCTCGCAAACGCATGCCTGATGGTTCCAAAAGGATTCAGGTGGCTCCTTATCTATTCAATCCCCAGGTAATTGGTCCAACACAATAGGTAATAATTTCTTCTTGTGTTTTGTACTGGAAAATAATGTGTTGTTTTATTGCAATATGTGCAGCCATTTGATGAGAAAACGAAGAAGAGAAAGCTTTCAGTGCGACGACGCAATTGTGCCGTGCTCGTGAATTATGACTATTAAATACAGTATCTATCTATCTCCTGAACCAATTAGTGGCCAATGCCTGATGAACTTCTTTCATATACACATTCTCGAGTGGAGATATTTAATTATTTATTGAACAATAATTATAAATAAATAATTCCTTATTTGTTACTTGGCTTAGGATATTTTCACTTTGATTGCTTTGAGTTTGAGACTTGAATGATAGAAATCACATTTAATCACACTTGTTATACATGACCAAACAAAAAGAATTGATCAAACATACGGAGTAATATCTAGATAGAGAGATATGAACTAGTTACATAAAATGGGTGGTGTATATATGATTAGAATGAACCATCCTTTACATTATATAGAAAAGACTCTCCGGGTTGGAACCTAGACTAATTAATGAGCTAGGTCCAATACAGGGACATACTTTGAGAATTCCTAATTTGAGAATTCACTTTATCATTAACTATTCATTCCAACCATTTAATCTTTGATCAATTTGTGGAAAATAGGAGACAAAAACGTACTTTTCACCTATCACACTTATCAAACAGTTGAGATTAGTTCATAATTAAAGTTATGCGTAATATTATTTTCGATAAAATTGAATTTTTAAAATCATCCCATAACTAAGGGCCTTGTGGTCTAATTACATCACCTCTAGTCTCCCAAAGAAGATGTTGTAGGTTTGAGTCTCATCCAAATCAAAATCTTCACATTATCACAAGGAAATATTGTAATAGATTTAGAATGATACTATAAAAAAAATCATCCCATGGTTAATTTTGATAGTTAATCCTTACGAGAAAAATCTAGACTATTAATTAATCAAGTCTTGGACAAAAAAGGTGCATGTCTGATATGATTTATCATCTCTATATGTATGATGCTTGGAAATACGATGGAATAAAGGAAAATGACTCACTAAATTGCATGCGCTTCTTTGTTATGAAGGAGTAGTCAGTCCATGCAATTTCTGTCGCGAAGTTCACTACAGGTCATCCGTAAACAATCTTTCTGTACTTTAAAACAGAGGTAAGACCATGTACATCAGACCTTCTCTTACCCCATCATAGGTGGGAGCCTTTGCGACAGTGGGTAATGACGTAGAAGAAGATATGAATGGTGCTAGGATTGTGCAGCCGTGTGGCACGTGTGGCAAGAATGCATGCATGTACCTCACCTTCAAATAATAATAGAAACATCATAATTCATACATGTATGTCGCCCATCATGGAGTCATGCCAGGCTGCTTCTACACGGCCACCCTTGCCATTGTAATTGATGGATGACGGTCAAGACGGTGGGCGTAGTTGAACTGATAGGTATACCTATGTGGCTATGTAGCACGGAAACACTCGGGAAAGAGTAAATTTCTGTTTCAGAAATTCTACGGGAACCTCTACAAGCAAAGGTTTTTTGAGCAAAAGTTGACGTCTCTCGTTTCCCGTTTCCTTATGACTTTCACATTTTCGTGTAACATAAGATACTACAAAGGCAAGTCTCGCATTCGAATGCTGACAATTGCGATCTTACTATATAAAAATATACAGGATCCCTACACATTATCTACAAGTCTGCGAACAAAGTCCAATTTGCATCTTTTAGTTAACACTATCTGATTGATCAGTGTTGGGGATATAGTTAGTTAAATACGGTACGAGAATTAAACGAGATTTAATACGTACGCGTTTTATTCGGCAACAAGAATGAAAAAATGGTCAAAAATTCGTTGAAAAATACGTTGACTTTTAAAAAACGTGTGAATAAGTATACGTGTATAATATGGTACATGTTACAAAAATTTGGACAAAATAAGATATATATTAAAAAGAAATAAAAGTATACACATATTCAAGTAACAAATCTCATTACCACATACAAGAATAATACGTAATTGCATAAGTCGAAGACAAAAATAAAAAGAATAATTAAGTCCAAGACATAATTTTGCAAATTTAAGTCAAAAAAATGAGACATAATAACAATAGAATGAGACTATGTTAAAATTATTGTCTGTATATGATCATTAATTAACACTCAAGTAGTCAAGTTAAACTTGTCATTTTCATCAAAATGACGAATGACATATGAGAATAATACGTTGTGCAACTGCTACGCTTACTATTATTTATGTGCAAAAGTTTATACCCCCTGTCCTGAATTGAATTGCAAACTTTGACCGGCACAAGGATTAAGAAATAACAATAAATGATTCTTGCTTTTTACACTTTTGCCCATCTTTCTAAAAGTAGATGCCTTTAAGTTAATAGGGAAAAAGTAAAAGTAAGGGTAAACTTGTCACTTTATTCTTATTTACATACCTAAAATAGAAAGTGGAAAACCATTTTGGGACAACCAAAAAGGAAATTTTGCAAATCAAATTGGGACGGAGGGAGTATTAAAAATATGTCAGGTTTAGAAGAACCTTAGTATTGATGTGCTTGATTAGAAAACTATCACAAATCCAATAGCATTTCAAGTTTTGGTCTTTTAGGAAGCTAGCCGTCATGCAATTAATTTTAGTATTTAATAATAATTGCATTGTAAAAATACAAAAACACGAGGAAGAGGCCGGTTTTCCTCTTTTCTTTTAAGCTATTGCTGCTCTCCAATGCATTTAATGCACTCATTTAATTGTTCATTTCATGTTTCTATTTTTTTGTAAAATACGGAAAAAATACGTTTTATACGGGAAGTAGGAGTTTTTTTCTTTTTAAACGGACCGACATTATTTTTTGTTTTAAACACATTTTTTGTTCAAAAAAACGATACGTGTTTAAAACGTAAGAAAGCTAACTAGGCTTGGGGATACTCAGGAATGAGTTTTTTAAATTGTAATTTGATGGAGTTAGCTTAGCCAGGACGGGCTGCGGAAGCGAAGGCGACCTTCCCAATATCAAGCTTTGAAATTATAGGCTTACACACTTTTGAGTATTTTTCGTATTGTCAACTTAACCATCTTCAAATATCTAATCTAACTAGTATAGTACTTGTGCATACGCACGGGAAAAGCGATCGATGCATATATATTTACTTAAGATGTAATCAAATATCAAATGTTTCGTTCACTTATTAGTCCCTTTATTTTATACTCCGTACTTAATAGCACTACATATGAGAGAAAATATCTCGCTGAATTATAAGTATACTTTTATCTTCAAAGCATTACGTATGATGGAGAAAATTACCTTACTCAATTATTAGACCGTCCATCTTATTTTATACTTAAAAATGCAACATATGAGAAAGAAAAATCTTTCCTTCAATTATTTGTATGCTTTTCTTATGTCTAAAAGTACCACATATGAGAGAGAAACTTATCCCGCTCATTTATCAGTCTGCTTATTGATGTTAATTTTTTCGCACTTAAAATAGATTGTAGAATAGTGGTGTAAGTACGAGTATCGTCTCCACAAGGACGGACAAAAGGGAATTAAGAATTAAATAAATTCAGCAACTAAAAATAAATAAAATAAATACGTCGTGCGAGATTTGATTGATTGGGAAAATTAACTAATGCGAATGAACGATTAAAATAAAATAAATTAAACTAATGGGTTCTTTCTAATTAATGACAGTAGGGAACATGGATTGATTCCGGGGTAATCGGATTTTTGGCAGATCAAGCTTAATTACATGAAATTAATTTAATTGAGCCTAGCTAATCAATACTAAGTTCTTACCGCTCTCGCGGCGTAGAGTACAATAATTTAGGAGACCAGGCTGATCTCTCATGCGACAGGATCCTAAATTATTGCCAAAACGAGCGAGCTTACGGCCCCTTAATCGCTACTAATCTCTTAGCGAGTGATTAAGTGTGTGTGAATGTGTCTCAGAATAAATTAGATCTCTCCTAATTTATTCTACAAGCAATTGTAAATCTAGTCGCGGTTCCAGGTTACAAAAGATAGCAAGAAACTAGCCATACATCATGATTAACCCCTTCATCAATCCCAAATCCCTAATTAAAACTACTCACAACTCATAATTGAACAATCAATAGAATTGGGAAGAATAGAATTAATTGTCATTAATTGAAAAGATGGAACTTACAAATAATCCAAGGGAATTGAAGAACAAGATGAAAAAGTAGAAGAAATTTCGTCCCTAGGCCTCTCTCTAAGCTCCCCCCTCAAAACAGGAGTTTACAGGCTATTTAAATAGTAAAAATGAAGCAATTCGGGCGAAATTAGAACTTCAGGGGCACGCACGGCGCCCACGCACGCGTGCGTGGCGTCAGTGCGTCCGACAGACTTGCGCGTAAAAAACGTTGGACGCACGCGTGCGTCCCCTACACACACGCGTGCGTGGCTTTCAGTGAGTTTTCCGGCTTCTCTAGTTCGAATTTGACAAAACTTCCTTGATGAAAGTTGTATATAATGAAGTCCTATATCCACCACAACTTGCTGAATTGGATTTGAATCATCCAATCAAGAGATATGAATAAAATGGTGGAAGGTCTCATTCTGAAATCGCAATAGGGATCATCTAACTTCATCGTCTGTTTTCACCTTCTTCCTCTCAGATTCTTGCAATGGTGTCTGCATATGATTTACAACCCTTGAAGTTGGCTTTCATATGAAACTTGAATCGTGTCCTTTGGATGCTTCTACAAAGAGATATGTTTGAACGATTGATATAAGGATATTCTGAACGTTGTTTTCAAGCTCTATTTGTCTTCTTTTGACCCCGTAGCCAATCCTAGAGCTGTTTTGTCATCAAATCTTCATTGGTGAACCTCCCGGTGACCTCCAAAGCTATCAATTCACTCTCGAATGCTTCTCAAGTTTTTCCTATTTCTCTTCAAGCGCCGGTATCGGACTCTAAATTCCTGATTTTGACTCCAAATAACACAAAACTCGAACCGACGCCTGGTACACATAACTTGAGCTAAAATTGAGATTTGTGACACCTAAAAGTTAGGGAAAACATAAAAAACCGATCCCAACATGCATCAAATGCGTGTTGTAATACGGACTTATCAGAGTCCCCCACACTTAAGCCTTTGCTTGTCCTCAAGCAAACTAAACAACGGGACTTACGATAATCACCACACGAAATTAAAACAATTAGCATGCACAGGTAGTTACAAGGATACTCACAGAACAGAGAGATAAAACCAAGAAAATTCTTCCCTAAACTACATCTTTGTACTGTAGCTA